TAAAACGAGTAGGATCGCTCTTTTCTGAAGGTAAATTATAAATTTAGTTATTATAATCATCACCTTTTTGATCGTGCCATTTTACTTTTCGACTTGTCATTTTACTTGACATTTTACAGACATACGTTTTCGAATCCAAGATTGATCGCTCGATATATTATTTTTTGAACGTCGTCATAGTTTTTATTTACAAGAAAGAATAGCAAAAAAGCTTATAATTTACATACATACTGTTCTACGGATTTTTTTTGTATTTGTTTTATATTATAAAGTCAAATCAACATCAATAATATGATTAATATGCCACTATGGAGAGCATTAAAAAATTTTTTATTACAAAGTTCAAATTTTTGTCTACCCGTATCTTGTTTTTTGATGCTGCACAATTATGTGCAAAAAATTCATTTAATAATAGTAGTAATACTTTTCTTGATAACACGTTAATGAAAATAAGAAAAAATCAATTCACTGCGTAGAAAAAAAAACTCGTATTTCCGAGAATTTCAGCAATTAATCCCAACAAAATGTATTCGATTATAAAAATTTAGAAATTATAGATTTTTTTTTATAGAAAAGTGTTTTGTCTGCAGAGAAATCTTTTTAGCTCACGTTAATTTTTTATTTACTACTAAAGTAGTTATTTGTAGTGTAAGTAGTTATTTTTTTGTTTAATTTGCATTTTGTGATGTTACCTCAATGTGTAAATATCTACTGTCACTAATGCGGTAGTTATAAAAAGTTTAGATATTCTTTCAATTAGCTTGAAACACTACTCGAATTTGCCACCTAAAACGTTCTATTAGAAATTCTGAAATTGGTAGCGACATGATGCATCACGTCTATTATGTATCACCTATACTTGCACGTATTCCACGTGCGTTAGTTAGAAGCAGGGAAGTAGGAATATGTTAGGAAATTAGCTAACAGCCCTTCGACTGTTGGCCTGTAATGGAAATGCCTAATTTGTACAAACACTAATAGCATGCTTTCAGCATATAGCTTGTAATAAAGTTGTAGTTCTGTGAAATATGTGGGGCGGTTCTTGCAAGCACAAAGGGAGAACATGACTGAAATTTGATTTCTTAGAGATGATAAGAGCACGTGAGTGAAGTAAAAGTGATGTAATTTAAAACGTACAGATAAAGAGTAAAAGGTGAAGAAAGTTTCAAATGTAGTCAAATAAATGCCTAAGTTAAAAATGTCTCGGAAAGTTTTCGTAACAATATGTGACAGGATCTAGAAATTTGAGGTTTGAAACGTGATCTAGTATAACAACGTTAGCAAATTTACGAACTAGCTGCAGCAACCTGATCAGAGGAACTTTGGTGACCTTATCTGATATTGCCATTTATTCGAGTAACCTCTCATTAGAGGAGCACGATTATTCGTAACTGTGTAGCCTAGGTGTACTTTATAAGCGATAAACTTGGGAAGTTTCGTATTACACATCACACCATCAGTTATCTAATTTAACATTTTATTACCGTTATAGCCTGTATTTATTACCACATATTGAACTGTAACAAGATTTTTAGACAGGTAAGTTTCATAACTTTATTGTGGGCTAAAATACATGCAAATTTTATACAGAAACTTTGCGAAGATTCTTTCAACACTATTATAGCTACGCTCTAAGGTAAGGTAGAGGGTTAATGTACACGTAATACATAAAACACTGCTAATTATGTCACGACAACTTTTATGTTATGTTAACAGCTACCAACAGCTGGGTTAAAATTAAACTTAGTTTATTTTATTTCTGCCGCCATTAACTGGCACAGCTGAAGCATAGAAATTAATTTGCGATATTCGTACATTTGTATAACTGAAACTAATGTAATACAGTAAATACACAATTAAGTTTAAACCAAAAAAAACATTGATTTTAATTACAGTGTTATGCTGAAATGCTTGGTTTTCTGCGCTGAAAACAAGAGTTTAACTAAAGTGACATCGGAAAAAATCAATTGCTCTTTGAGTCTTTAACACTTACAGGATTTTTAGAGGAAATATTACCATTTGAGTTTGATAGTTATTTAATGTGGCTTGTCGACAGTTGTTTCGTGAGAAATCGTTAAAAGAATGTATCGTAACTTTCAGCTACGTTACGAAAAGTTTCCTTAAAAGAAATTACAAATAACTTCTTTTAGAGTTTCCCTACTATTGAGACAACCATAACTATCGTGTTTATGTAAGACATTTTCCTTAATTTCGTCGTTCATTATATGAAATGAGTGAGGGTGTATAAAGCTGTGTTTACAAGCTTAAATTTGATAGTTGTAAATTGCTGCTTTTTAAATGGGCCAGCAAAACTGGCTTTAAACCGCGATTAAACGCAACTCTAAACAAACAAGCTTGTTTGCTTGTAATCAGTGATAGACCCTTAAAGATTCCTTCAGACTTACATGAATTAAACACACAAGCAAACATAATTACCATAATCATAAAATCAAACATTTTCGGATAGGATGTCGTCCAACGGTGGCCTGTGACTTTGAAATAAACTGTGACATAAAAATAATCAGGATAGACTGTTTGAGTTGATGCTGTTGAATTTTAGTCACGACTCGTGGATTTGTAAACCGAGAAAGCAAATGATATTTGTATCAAACATAAAAACATTATTTAGCTAAAGTTTTATAACTTCACAATAATTAAAAATTTCTTAGAAAAAACCTGTAGTGAATTACAAATACCGGTTTATAAATATTTTTGAAATATAAAACAGTCTCAGAATCTTACTTTTAAATCTGTGATAGACATCGACTTTTTAAGACTTTTTCGCAAAATAGCCTCATATTTTTTTGCACTTTTCTTGAGTTATTTAATTCTGCTCTCTTAGAAATAAAAGTCATCAAAAACATATACAATGTATTTTTTCCCACGACCATATACGAAAGAGACATTTTCCATACAGTCAATTACCTAAGAAAGTTAACGATATGGAACAAATCGCATTATTTCCTAACGCACGTGGGTGTTAGCAAAGTAACGTCAGAGGTTGTGCGATAGGCGAAGAGCCGTAGGCGCCTCTGGCACATTACGCGTGATTGGCTGTTTGTTGGCCATGTGCATTGCTTTTGCCATATATATTTCCTTTATAATTGACACAAAGTTTTGTAATAATACCACCGACTATTTCCTAAATTCCCTTAATTAAGTAAAAATTTAATATTAATATACGCCTAATTTAATAATTGTTTTATTGAAAATGTTTTTTTTTTGTTGTGGGAATGTGTTACTTTCCATTCTCGTTATGTAATATACTATTTCTACCTTGCGTACTTAATGAAGTAAGTCATTTTGAAACCCATTTCAGTATCGAAAAATAACTTGTTAAAATTGTGCCTTACGAACCTCGTTTTTTAATATACATACTATTTTGTAAATCCTCCAGTGAATTGACTAATATTTACTTTTAAATCACAAAACTCTAATTAATTTTCTTTTTGTCAAAAAAATCAGAAAATTAATTTGGAAATTTGTGATTCAAAAATATTTAAATCTAGATCTAAACAAATCCCTTCCTATTTTTTGTACATATAATTTTTTTTATCTCTAAAGAAAATAGTGCAAAAATTTAGTTTTCAAAAAAACTAAATAGTTAAAAAATAGCTAAACTTGGTTATGTATAGGGAAGACCAATAAAAACTCTCTTATAATTACTCGAATAATCCAAAAATACTATATAAATACAGCTTTTCCTTTAAAATAACAAAGATGATTCTTACTATCGGGATTATTATTGTATGATTGTTAAAACTCACAATATTTTTAATGTGAGGTTTAAACGGAACAGTACACTACAATAAAGCAAATAAATTATTTCTTATAAAAAGTTTTATTAAACAAATACATATAAGAGAAAACAATTTCGCACAAATCACCACTGCTATACAGAGTGTTTCAGAACTCGCGCCTCAGAAAAATTGTGTGTAAGATAATAAGATACCAGGAACATAAAAAAATAAAAATGTTATTGGGCAACAATTTTGACATTTATTTGTTGACATTTGACTTTTTTTGTCTATTTAATGTTACTGATAATCTTGTATATGTTTTTCATAATTATTCAATAAAGATAAAAAACTTTGCCAATAAAAGTCATAAATAACGTTAAACGTAGTTATAATTCATTATTTCCCTTTCTAATAGCCTGAAGTAAAAAAAAACATGTAAAATAATTTTTTGAACAAAATAAATAAAGCCACAGTGCAAAATTTAAACCCCCATAATGTCGAAATTTTTATAGCTAGAATTTTTTAAACATTTTTTTCTATATTCCTGGTATCTTATGTACCAAATGTATTACGGAAGACTTTCGATTGAACACTTACATACACTTGAGTGCAAAAAAACGCAAATTGATTTTTTCTATAATGTAATTTGGCCTGTTAATAAATGCCAGTTTTTTGACGTTGTCTTTGTCACAGTCACAATTCACAATTTCATAATTGTCAACCATCTTCCATCAAGTTTTTCCATTTCGTTTTTAACACTGACTATGTCACTGCACTAGCAAGACCAAGAAATACGACATTTCTTTTGATAGTTTTCTAACCTTTTTGGGAAGAACCTTTTTCACACTATGTAAATCTCTGAAAATTTTGATAATTTGCGTTTTTTTTTACACTTAGTGTAAGTTTCAATATAGTTTTATGAAATATCTCTGTATTATTTGTATTATTTTGTAAAACTTTTCTGTTTTTTTCTCTTCTTTCTTCTTTTTTTCTGCATTATTTCAGTGTTGCCTAGTTAATTTCCGTATCACACAGAAATTTGAACAGAAACTATTAAACGCAAACTGTGGCATATTTCATTAAAAAAATAACGTAACTGAAATCTTATAATAAAACGTGGTATTATTCATTATATTATTATTACACTGCCTGGGCAAACTAGAGACTTAATTAACATACATTTTTCAGCAGTTTTTGCCCATCTTAATGACATAATAATATGAGATATCAGTAAGACACATTTCGATAAATTACACTTACCACTTCCTGGTACATAAATGTTGAGGAAGAGACAGTCCTCCGACTGGTTGACAAGCAGGGGCACCAACTTTTTCAAATACTGGTATCTGCCTTTGGGCATCGTCTGCAGTGCGGCAGTTCTGTTGGATATGTCTGGTAATTTCTGTGGACAAACGGCGCCGAAAGTGTCTGCAAGTCTTGTTCCGGGCCACGCGAGCGGGGGTTGAGGTAGTCTGAATCTGAGGGGTCCTACGGGAGGCGCAGCGTATGGAACTCCGCGAAACACTTCAACCGGTTCAAGATGTCGTGAATTGAGTTCGAGGATAATGCCGCGAATTGCTCCCGTTTTAATGTCAACTATTCTGGAGCTATAACGGGGTCCCGATCGAACGTTTGTGGTTAACAACACTAACACCAGGAATCCTATTACATGGCGGGTGAACGCTGGACATCTGGAAAGCATGGTCTGGGGGGGTTCTGCCAGCACTGGGGCATCACTTTGCTCCTTTACGCTTACATATGCGGAACTCTGCAATAAATTCCAATAATTACGAATTTTACTCTTTTTGTATGTCCCTATAGGATTCGCAACATAACAACTCTGGCTATAAACTGGCAAGTTTAATTAACCTGCTGCCATCGGAGTTGTTCTCGGAACCTTACATGAGTTGTTGATGTAGGAAACTCTGGCATTATTTGAATACAAGGAAAGTTTCAAACAATGCGATTAGAAGTACTCAAGACAAAGCTTTAAACTAAGAAACGTTGGGAATAAAGTTCGCTTTGAATTTACTCGCAAGCTCAAATTTATCTTTATCAAAAATAATATTTATTCTCGAAAGCGCTTCCTCAACAATATTGAGCCAATTTCAAACAACTAAAATCATTATCAGTAAAGTCAAATTTAGTTCACAAAACTTTTTATAATGACTCAAACTTTTTTACAAGAAACACAAATAGGTGTTGTGTGTTGTATTTCCCGGTGAAATATGACACAAAAACAATCGACCTGACAAAACACAAAGAAAAGGATCTGCGAAAAAATCGGTTCACTTACTTTAAAAACACGCACAGCCTATAAACAAGGGGTGTTCTGTCGGTTGAGAAAACTTTTAGGATCTATAAAAGCGGCTGATTTCGCTTAGTATTCACAATGGAAACACCCTTCGAGTTCCGCTGACATCTGTTGTTGAGCACTGGTTTGCGAACGCGCCTTTCATGCTGTAAACTTGAAAGTTTCCAAAATACGGTCACTCTCCAAGGATCGGTGCTTCCCATCTTTACCTTGTGCTTATTTCTGATAATGAATGAGCTTTGAAGTCCAGATTTCTTCAATATATTCGAGGTTTTCACAATGATGATTCACAACTTTTTCCCTGTTCTTTTGGCATCCACTTGCCTGTAAAAGACGCCACATTAAATGTTAATCACAAGCTCTTTAGGAATCCCAAATTAAATATAAATGCGATTCGCTGCTAACCATCTCGTTTAAACGGTTAGCTCATTTTACATTTGACTTTTCCCAGAGTTTTATTGAATTAAGCACAAATAAATGATTTGTAGGAAAAAACTCGTCGGTTCATATAAATTTGAACACAAACAAAACTGTAACAGAACTTTAAATGTGAATAAAAAGAAGCAAAATCTTTATTTTTTTTTGAAACAGTATTTTCTTAATGTTAATTTCAAAAATGTTATAATCATACAAGAGATTCCGCTTTTTCTTATTTATTTTGTACTCAATGTTAAAGAGTGCTTTTATCAACTAATTTCAGTAGATAAAGTGGTCTTTTATCGTCTAATGAAATAAAGTAATTTTATCTACTGTTTATATTCAAGAAATTCTCGTAGATGAGTACAAAATAAATTGAAATATTATACACGACAATAAAGATTGTTTTCCTAGGACCATATATGAAACTAGATCATAATGCACAAATACATATGCGCGAAAATTAGCAATATCGTACGAGGTCGAAAACCTGTGCGATTTGTTTTAGAAATCTAACGCACAATTCACACTCGAATGTTTTGTATTTTTTCATTTAACGTATTTTTTTTGTATCCATTATAAAAAATAAATCGTTGTTCAACGTATTTTTGTATCCATTATAAAAAATAAATCGTTATGAAAAAAAAAATATGTTCGTACGAAAAAAAATATTTATGGTCGTAGGAAAAATAGTGTACAAAACTTGCAGGAAAGGGTCTAACGCACTCGCGGTATTACCTGCACTCGGCTAACGCCTCGTGCGCAACTTTCCCGCTTGTGCGTTATTTATCACTTTCCGTGCTCGTTTTGTAATATACTATTATCTACTCGTGAAAAAAGTCCACTCGTGACTTTGTCACTCCTAACTTAACCTTTTCTCTCGTGGATAAACAATTTCTTTGTTATTGTTTTTTTCAATTTTTCTTTTATTATACCTCGCTTCACAAGTTCTGGGAGAAATGTAAATAAACCTTAATATTTTATTAAATTAATGTCGCAATGTTGGCGTAAATTGTTAAGATGTGTTGCAACTAAAACTATCACCCTCCATAAAGTACATAATCTTTTATCTGTATGCATTATTAATGTCACACTTAAACTCGGATTGGCTCAGAATCAGTGAATTATTTCTGAGATAATGGTCGCAAAAAATCTGCTGCGACTCTCGTCCACTTGCAAATGGAATAGTAATAGTTGCGATGTTTGTTCGAGTCGGTTTGAAAGCTGGTGATAAATTATAACTTTTGCCGAGTCATCTTACATTATTAATCGTTACAGTGACAAACAGCAGTTATAATGAACATTGATGAAACGGTTCCAGTCGGAGGCTTCGTATCTATTTATTTTTATTTAATCCGAATGAAATAAAATGTAATGTTGATTAAAACATTTGGGTAAACACGTCGGACGTGTTTCAAAGTTTAATTGTTTATGTTTATAAAGCAAATGGGTTAATTGTATGTACAAACCACTGTGAAGATTCTGTCTCGAATGTGGCTACAATTACAAGAGATATAAATAGTGAGTTAATTTATAAACTTTATTAATTTATAATGTAATCATTTTCATGAGTAATTAAAATGTCATTATTTTTAGTCTTTGTGGCTGAATCGTTAAATCGTTTTATTTTATAAAGCGAACCATGGGTTATAATTTGAAGGGTGTAAACGAAGTTATCTTGTTACAACGGCCTGGGGATTATTCACATACATACGTAATTAATTTCCAGTTTCAACTAAGAATAATCCTCTGATTTTAGGTACGCAGAGCGTTATGGAATGATCCGACATCATTGGACCCGGAGGTGTAATAAATATTAAAATCATCATCAGACAATGTTAAATTGGATTCCATTTATTATCGATCTCAACTATGTGGGTCATTCTTCTAAACTGTCTTGGTCAGTTAAGATAAGTTGTTATGAATAGGGGTTTTTACGAAATCATGTTTTTACCCAACGAAGAATGGTAAATTATTCGTATGCCATTTGCAGAAATTATTTCATTTTATAAAACTAATTCCCAACAAATATTTGTTTAATTATTTCACCAATATTTATTTATCTCTTGTGCGAAATAGGTTTATTTTAAAATAAAAATATTGATATGCAAAAATTTTGCTCCCAAAGCATTATAGGGGTATTACACTTTATGCAATTTTATTGTAGTCGTAAAAATGAAGATTAGTCGTAATTAACTGAGGTGCAATAAAATATAGAAGAAATACAAAGTATAGCAGGTTTGCAGATTTAGTTGTTATTATCCGTTTTTTAACAACTCTCGTTTAATTGCATTACAGAAGTGGATCACGGAATCGTGTTTTCCACTACCTTGTTATTGTTAGAGTTATGAAGCGGTTTAAAATGACAAATAATAGATTTTTTGTTATTGCAACAGTAATGAAAACAACGTTTTTAAGGTTAAATTGGAACCGGTATTTTTTATTCAGTATCAAATTAACTTGTGATTTTAATATTTGTGTTGAATTTCAGGAAATATTGGTTGCTCTTATGTATATTGGTTGCTCAAATGAAATAAAAAACGTATCAATGAAATATGTTTATTTTGTACTCAATGTTAAAGAGTGCTTTGAACAACTAATTTCAGTAGATAAAATAATTTTTATCTACTGGTTATATTCTTTATTTTGTACAAGAAATTCTGGTAGTTGAGTACAAAATAAAACGAAATATTATACACGACGATAAAGATTGTGAAAAAACCTTTTCACTCGAAGATAATTATCGTCTTGTATTTATAATAAATAACTATTAGTGTTTCATTAAATCTAGTTTTAATAATAATGATATAATTTATTTCCAACAGACTACAAAGTCCATAGAGGACAAGAGAAATAGACGAGTAAGTTAAAGTACCTTGAAAAAAAAAATAATAATACATAAAGAAAAGAAAAATTAATTACAAAAGCAAATACAAGAAATTATAAGGAGAAGTAGATATGACTTTTACTGATTTAGAGTGAAATTTTTGAAAGATGTCCATATCTAAGTCTTTAATACTGTTATACAGGGTGTGTCAATACTCGCGCCCCAGACAAAAATTTCAAGTAAGATAAGATACCAGGAACATGGAGCAATGTTAGAAAAATTCTATTTGTAAAAAAATGTTGACATTTATTTTTTGACATTTGACATTTTTTATGACTATATAATAATACTGATAATCTTGTATATGTTTTTTATAATTATTTAGTAAAGATTTTGCCAATAAAAGCCACAAATAACATTAAACAGTCACAATTTCTTGTTAAATTTTCTAATAGCCTGTAGCAAAAAAATTTGGAACAGAATATAGTACATCCTAGAGGAGAAATGTGCCAGAGGCTTTGAGAGCTTACATATACAAGATGCGCCAGAACTCGCGCCCCAGAGAAAAATGCCATATAAGGTAAGATACCAGGAACATGGAAAAAATGTTAAAAAAGTACCTATAAAACTTTCGAAGTTATAAGAGTTTAAATTGTGCACTTTGACTATTTATTTCTGTTGGAAAAATAATTTTCCAAGTTTTTTTGCTACAGCTATTAAAGGAGGAAACAAGGAAGCTGTATCCTAAATTGTAACTATGTTTAATGTTATTTGTGGCTTTTATTAGCAAAATTTTTGTACCTTTACTAAATAATTGTAAAAAAATATATACAAGATTAAAAAATAAATGTAAAATTTTTTTGACAGATAGAATTTTTTTAAACATTTTTTCTATGTTTCTGGTATCTTATTTTGCTTAAAATTTTTGTCTGGGGCGCGAGTTCTTGCGCACCCTGTATGACCAAGAGACGCAGTCTCAAGATTAGACAGAGATGTTTGTATGCTATGTTAATCGCAATCAATTTTTTTTTAAGTAATAAAATATTTGTTTGTCTGTCAAAGTTGATACACTGACATAGTAGGTATGCAGACAAATTGCGTTTTTGGCATTTAATCCTACATGAATTACTTTCCGACCAAGGGGTGTTTTCTAAAATGTTACGAATCGACATATTACTAAAGTGACTGTAAATAAAGATATTTACACACGTCTGTTAAAAATAATAATAATGTTGATATAAAGAATCTAAAGAATATAAAGTCATATTTCTGTATCGCCTACTGAAAATATTTCATAGTCGTGGATAAAGTATAGTATTCTATTCGCACATAAGGGCTATTATTCACTCAGGTAATCAAAAAACTCACCTACGACTTGTTTTTTAAACTTTACCTTTAAATGCTCGTTAAATAATATACCGTGCGATTAAAAAAAAATAGAGTAGGCGGTGATTAAAGTCCTTCAGAAGGCAATTTTGATATCAAATGTCAGCGGAAACTTTCACAAGTTAGCGTTTTATTCCTTTTAAGTGAAATAATGTTTACTTCAGAGCAGAAAATTTTTATTGCTGTACAGGAGGAAAACGGTGGATGGTCATTTTCACTTTCAGTGTGTGTAGAAAATTTCCAGCCCAGATTCCCAGCGAATGTGTTGCCAACTGTAGAATTTAATTGACGCCCACTCTAATTTATTTTTTATTTGATCGAACGGTACTATTTTTTAAAGTGTAATTTGTTAAATTTTGAGTTTTAAAACTCAAGTTTTGACTGTGATTTGCGGACTTGTAATACAGTACAAATCAAACATCACAATTTCTGCAATTAAACGAATTCTAAATATAGAATTTTACGAATTGGACAATTTGGTGTTTAAATTAAAAATTTTAATGTGTAAATTTTTGCAATTTTTAATTTTAAAGAGTTTTAATATTTGCAGAAAATTTGAACTTCGATTGCCGAATTGTTAAACTACATTTAAATTAATTTTTTAGACTGTAGAGTCTACAGTGTAGACAATGGTATTTCTACATCATAATAGATTTTGAAAAAAGCAGTACTAACAATTTACTAGTTTTTCGATTCTTAAAAAATTAGTTAAATTTACATTCCATGCTTTAATTAAATCAAATGGAAGTGAAACAACGCCAAATTTCAGCTAGATCAGAACACTGTTGGAATTGAATTAGAATAGAGTTACGCAAGAGCAGAAATAGACCCAGAATCGCCATCCGAAGCCAAACCGCATTGGATCTGGCTTAGAACCCACTCGTATCCGGTTGCGATCCGACTTTAGATAAATTCTTTGTCAGAATCAAATCCTGATTTGCCTCGGAGTCACTACATTTTCCCTTTATCACATACATTTCTGTCAATAAAAATTGAAAAAATATCCTCAAGTTTTGGTATTTATTCTCTGAATGTTAAACTGCTATTAATGTTTGAAATTAAGTGGATCTGTGAATGTTGTATGAGTGTATCAACAACAGTTAGACTAACAGAGTTATTCAGCTTGAAAGTACTGGTGTTTCGAATTTAATCCCAAGTTTCGTCCCTCGACAAATTAACGCGGAATAAAACCTAATCCAATCATAAGGTAATTGACTTATAATCTAATTCTATTCTAGTTAGGTGCTTGAGCCCTTGACTCACGGAATGTTGCAACAGCATAGTAGCAGTTATCTGTCTCTAATTAGACTAGGAAGCAATTAGAGAAATGTAAAGTTTCATCGGTTTGGGTATCCGGAGGACTGGTCCGGATGTCATTTAATTAAAGTGTCAGTAGTGGCGAGAAGACCGAAGTGCGTCGATCCAATCGGTGAGACTATCATATGTAAGTACACTATCTCAGCTTAGAACGAGACACCCTTGCAAATTGGTATTCGGCTGTCGCCACAACCACTAAGATTCTGGCCCTGTGTCGTGGATGAATAGCCACTTACATTTCGCTCGATTTAATTCAACGCATGTCTGCCACCTTCAAGCATTAAAAATGGAAAACCAAACATGGAAAGGTGAAATTCAGGACGTCCTCTACACACATCTACGACCCAGGAAAGGAAAGAATTACTTCCCCTGTCCGGGAAAAATCAAACTTTTCTGCAGTTATGGTAAATTTTTGTAGTAGTAATATTGCCATTCATCGAACATCGAAAGGATTCAATTCATTAGTGAAGCTCTTGAGTCTGGCAAAAATTTTCAGGTGACTTTATAGGAGGAGAAATTAATATTGTTGAACTTATTTTTTCCGTTATGAATCTTTTTTACTAATTAAGTTTTAGATCAATTTGGAAATTTTTAAGACTCGTACTGAAATGAGAGCAATTATTTTTTCAGTTTTTTAGGTGTTAAACATATTTGCCAAACCTACAGATTTTAATACTGCTTGTTTTATTTAAACTAATGTTTAATTAAACAATAATGTTTAGTTTAATAATTATTATTTATTGTCAGTGGAATGGAATAGTGGAACGAGTGCAGTCGATGTTTCGTCTACAGTAAGATTATGCATTTAATTTTGTTTACCAATAATAATAAATAAGAGTAAAGGCAGGTATGCAGGTTAAAAAATACTACATTACAAGCGAGGTGGTAAATATGGCATTACCCCGAGTGCTTATGTATAAAGCACAAGGGGTAATGCCATTACCACCGAGGTTTGTATGCTATTTTATTCACAATCACATTATTTTCAGTCAAAAATTTGAGTAAAATAAAATTCTAACAAAGTTAAGGTCCAAACGTGGTAGGCCATCTAAATGACGTTTGATTTTTGACATTTCAGAAATGTCAAAGAAAATATTGAAATAATGTGTAAATCTGATTTAAAGTCGTCGAAATGGAGCAATGTACTCCCCCAGAATTAAGAGAAACTGCTACAAAAGCAATTGAATACTAATTTAGCGAAATATTATCCGTAACTTGACATTTTAAAAGAAAAAAAATCAGGTATTTTCGTAAGTTTAACGTTGGCAATCCTGCATATTACCACCCAAGAGGAGTAACATTTATTACTCTTCATGAGAAATAATGACATGTTTCCCAACCTTAAAAAGGTTAGTAATCGGCATATTACATTAGTGATTGTGAATAAAATATTTCACTTTAAAGCTAATGTAACTGGCAATGATGAAATTTTGCAATTTTTGATCAAAATAATTTTTATTTTTTAGTTTTAATGTAATACTTTATCATTTGTTATATAATCACTAGTTCTTTTTTCTGTTAAATTTGCAGTTTTTGCCAAGTAATTCATAACACATTTTTACTTTTTCACTCTTCTACATTTTTATTGACTTTTCTGTTAGAAAAAAAGGAAAAAA